CTTTAAGAACAATCGAGTCCCAAACTAAAAGCGTCAGCCGGAAAGTAAAGGTCACGGACTATTTCAAATGATCCCATTGTCGTGTTTCCAAAACAATACATAATATTAAATAATTTTAGTCTGATTCTATGAAAAATGATCGTGAGGTTGCTTTGTGATGAATATGTTGCAGTCACAGTTAAGATATTAAACAACATTTTCTCGTAAAAAAATGTCTACTTTCGTCTTTTTATTATTGCTGATCCGTGACATTTTTTTACAGAGCCCGCAGGACACCAAGGTAATAGGGAGCTTAACTAAGCAACAACGATGGCGACGCCGAGGATGATACCTAGTCAAAGATGATTTTATCATTTCTCTGCGAAAGATCTGTTCAGTGCACCTATTGGCCTCAGAACTTGCTCAAGCTAAATACTTATAAACGGCAGCGTTCAATACGAAAATTAATTAACCGCCGTCGTTTGCTTTCTCATGAATACGCAGAACTTAGTCTTTTCACGTTGTGGTTTTACAGAGGACGTCAAAGAAATGACCAAAGATTTATAACGCAGGTGCACAGCCATTGTTCTACTCGTTAAACTGTTTAATTTGTTTGGTGGCGTTCTCGTCACTGTTGCCGTCGTGACTTGCTTTTAAAAGCTCTCTGTTAACCGGGTTCCACTGTACCAGCAATGATTCAGTTACATGTGTGCTAACCCCAACGGCGGTATCCGCTCGAAGAAATGTCGAAGAATATTTCAAAGTATCATCACGTTCCGGTATTACCTCGTTCACATATCGATTTGTTTACATCTAACGGGACTGAGTGGTAACTTTGCATATTCTGAGCCCTAACGGTAGTAGTTACTTTGTTTCGAGTAATTTGGCCATGTACAAAATTACCTTTAAATTGAAGGAAATCGAAAATAATAGTTTTCTTAGATAGTAAAACACCAAAGAAATAACGATAAACCATAGAGGAACAAAGGATGGTTAATTAAGGATGGAGAAGATTAACACGAATTACAAACGACGAATTTGAAAATTTTAGGCTAACATTTTCAAGATGCGCAGTTCCTTTGCCCGTTGTCGGAATTTTCTTTATTATAACTGACTTTCCTGATTTAAATCTTTACGTGATCATGAATGGTTCGCGACGATAACAAAAGGCAAAGAGGAAATGTACTTGCAACACGTCCTGATTAAACGGAGAAAATAACTTAACGAATTTTATATAGAAATCTATAAGCCTAGTCTCTCATCTGTTACAATGTGTCGGGACACCTATTGGGAAAAACGAAAGGGCATTTAGACATTGTTTAATTTTTATTTTTCTATTTTCGACTAATCAATGTCGTTGACTAATCGATTATTTTATGGCCTTGTGACTGAAACATTTTGTGGCCTATCGATTATTCATCGATATCACTCATTGATCATCGGCAATAATCAATGGCTAGTCAACTTATTACTCATCGATTACCCGATGATGACTCGTTAATTTATTGATGTCATTGATGTCATCGATTAGTTACGTCTGGTCCTTTCAAAGCTTTCATACCGCACCAAACAAGACCAAATATCATGAGAAGTTTGGCTGAGGAGCATAGGCTATTATTTCTCATCAGGTCAAAGCATTTTGATTAGGAACTTATTCTCTATTGGCAATTAAATGAATTAAAACTTCACGGTAGTATATTGACAGTTATTGACAACGTGAAAACGGGTTTTCTAAAGATGCTTTCAGGATACTGGCGCCTTCTCTCTCATATTTGAACCCGATTGAGTCAGTTTAGTGTCGGTTCCTCTCTTGTATTTTTTTCTTACTTTTAGTTTTCTCGTGTTTATGATGTATGCTGGTAATTAGCTTGTGATGAAACAACATGACATAAAAAGCCTCACGCAAAAACAAATGTGGTAGAACGTTTAACTCGTCGACCAACACGAACTTCCCCCTCGCGTGGACGCAGAATTAATGACGAACTTTGAGAAAGGTGTGGTTGGTGTAGCCTGTCTCCTCAATATTCACTTAAAGTCGTCACGGCCTTTTTCGCGAGAAAATGCGCTACTCATCAAATTCAGGTTAGGGATTTTGATGTGCTTATCCTGCCTTTCGTGTTAACCGTCAATGCTCTCTCGTCCCAGAAGTTGTGTTTTCGTTCTCTCTGCTGTTGAAGCGAAATTCGTGAAACAGGTTGAGAAATAGAAACGAGCAAACTTCAAGGAAAATAGTAGAGATAAATGACGTTAATTGCTTAAGGTATGACGTGGAAGGTGGAACTGGTTAAGACACGTACACAGGAGAGAGATTGTTAATGATTGCTTCACAGCTAGCATTGGGGGGACACCAGAAGGTCGAACGTTTGCCTCTTCCAGGTGTCCAGTTGGTTGGGGCGCAGCGCGAAAATTGCCCGGAAAATAGCGCACAAAAAATAGGGTAGAAGCGCGGCGCGGGAAAGCAAATTGAGCGTCTCCGGCGTCCTTTATTTCGCCCCGCCGTTTTCTCGCGCTGCGCCCCAACTTACTGGAAGCCCAGAAGAGGCTAGTCGAAGGGCGGAGGGGAGAAAGAAGACCTCTTGGAGAAGGACTGTCGAGAAAGAGAGAAACAAGGCGGGGTGGAAGAGTTTGAAATTAGCCAAGGCGGTAACAAGGAGCAGAGAGTATTGGTTTGAGAACGTGATACTCTCATACCTTCCTGACCGTCATGTGTCTCTACTGGCACGACGCGACGCTAGAACCATGCAGAGAACCGTTTTTTCAGAAGCAGAAAGAAAAAAGAAAACTGTTACGACCACTATGATGGTAGAGTACTGTAAATTAAGGTTGTTTGCATTATTTGAGGTTGACGAAAGAGTAGAAGTTACGTTTTATCACTCATGACTCATAGAACTGTAGAAATAGTTTCATGACAACTTCAAGTGGTCACGACACAACTCTTCATTGCGTGACCAAAGAAATTTTGAAACATACGACAACTACACGACGCCAGCTGAACACGTGACGATCTGGTGACAACACGTAAGGTCCGTAAGATGAAATATTTACACAGAGAAACTGGCTCTGAATATCTTCTGTCCCTGTGATTTCTTCGCACGACCTTTGATGATATTCTTGTCTTAGCGTCTTCTCACATGAAATGAATGTAGCCTGAGGCAACAGAAATCCTATGACGGCTCTGTGACTTTTTGTGCGGTTGTTTTAAAGTTCCCCAACCAGAGAACAGGTGAGAAAAGACCTCTCAAGATAGGGGGCGTCTCCCATATGACCATATCTTCCATGGTCCAACAGAGGCAAAATTGATTGAAAGAAAGTTCAGCCATCGTAATAAACAGTTTTTCCGACCTTTTTCTCACGTCCAGAATGTCGTTAGCATTTCTGGATCTTTCTCGCGATATTTCAAAATTCTCTTGGACCCCAGCGTACCCCTCCCTCATTACACGCAAATGCTAAAACGCGCAATGACCTCTGGGATTTCAAGCTTGTTCTATTATTGTTCGCAGTCAAGTGACTAGCACACTCCGTTCTCAATTTTCCTGTGAAAATAGTCTGTAAATTGTGCTGAAGGTGAAGGTATGTTGTTGCTTTGAAGAGACCAGTGTTCCATCACTGACAGTGAATATGTCGTGACAAGTTCAGCACGATCAGCCCCCAAAACCCGGCTTTTTCATTGCGTTTGCGCGCCCACGGACCTCGGGCACATCATGTAATGAATTCAGACATAATTTTTCGCAACCGTACGT